AACATTTCACTACCCCTTCCAAGTTGTCGAGGCATAAGGTGTCTTTAAATTGTCTCGTGACGGAAGCACGCTAACAAGGATTGGCATGCTAAAAAGCCCGAACTGAGATCCAAGCTTAACCCCTCACCTGTCTGCTCCTTGAGACCCGAGGACTTGTAAAAAGTCTTTACATTCCGGTCTCTCAATAATAGCTCTTCTTTTCCTTTCCTCCTTTGGCCCTTCTGTTTCTTTTTCTTCCTTTTAAGAAGTCTGCTTGTTGGAACAAAGAAATATTTGAAGGCGCTGGTAACTAGCTGTGTGTGTTCGTGTGTATGTGCGTGCCTGTGAGTTGGACGCGGCCGTAGGGACGAATGCTTCAGTGCCCTCCTCTGTTATTAGGCCTGGCCTGTCATTATGGGATTAGTCTGTAGGGGTTGGTGTTTTTGCATGCATGTGTGTGTATGTTTGTGTGTATGTGCGTGTAAGGAGCTGTTTGCTTGTATATGATCTCCCCAAGCCTGTTTGTACAACTACGATTTTTCTCACACAGGCACCAGTCACAGCATGCTGAGAAAACAAATGTCTTTACCCCCCCACCCCTATTGTTAAAGTAATCCCAGGTGCATTTGACCTCTATTATAAAAATAACACTTTACTACAGCAGTCCTTAGGTTTCACAAACAGTAAGTTGCTAATTAAATAGTCTTGGTAAGCAGTGGGTGGTTGAAAAGCACTCCCCAATACACTGCTTGTCACATCCATCAATGTGCTGATAGAAAACATGAGCGACGATGTGAGCGATTTGCAAAAAAATAGGAGCAAATTAAAGAGAAGTAGAATACAAGGAGTAGAAATCTCCACTTACCTCCTAGTCTCCGCAAAGACATTGGTTTGAGTGTGCTAAAGCAGATATGCTTTTGTTATAGAAAACGGTAATATATCGACTGGTAAACCTTACCAATTATGAAATATGCCTTAAAAAGGGGAAAAAAACGGGCAAAGAAAAATATTAAAGCAGTTCCTCATCTGGATGCTAAAGCTATTCTCAGGGGATTTTTTTTTTTTCAAAGATAGAAAACCACTAATCTGACTTATTGTGTTCTTCAAACAACAAGCATAATTGTTGTATTTTCTCAACCCACGATTGGGCTGAGAGTTTTCTTATCACTGTATTCATGTACAGTTCTGGTGACATAAGTCTTCCAGTCTGTTGAATCTCTTACATACATTGTTGGACACATCCATATAGTAAAAACTATGCCATACAGGCCTAATGGTTTAGTGAATGGCTGAGCAGAATATGTATTTGCCCCCTTTTAGTATTATAACATTTTTAGAGTAAAAATGAACTAGATCATTTGACTAGTTTTGAGGGATATTTCCCACAACACCCTCATAACCTCTTTCATAAAGCAGTCCTGTCATGAACCTGCAAAAACAAGCCCCTCTCTGATATGCCTTTGGCATTCATAAATCACAACACAGAGCTGGCTATATACCTCACACATGTGAGCTATCAAAACTCAAGCTAGGACAGCTGAAGAGGCTTGGAGTTTGACCCAGCAGAGTTCATTTATTGCACTATACATAAAATTAGTGTCAGAGATCACCAAATTTAAATGGAAAAAAAGCTTGGCATGTAACAGCTTATTATTTCAGTTCAGTTTCAAAGTATAACTGCTGCAAAAGGAACAAGTGGAAGACTATTTTTGGTAGTCCAAGTCTAAGTCTGGTTGAGTTGTATATTAACAGAAATATATACATAGTGCACAGTGCCATCCGTTGCAGTCCAGATGGGATTTTCTCTTAAATCTCACAGACAGCTTGTTGCAGTCACCAAGTGAGGTAGTCACTACTGTTAACACTTGTGGGTTGACTCCAAAGCCCTGAATGCATTATTGTGAAAAATCCACTAAGACTGTGAAAGGTGGTGAAATTCTAGATTTAAAAGGGCCTGTTTACTCTTGTCCCTTGTTTAGTTTCTATTGGCAGGTTTACATGTCCATTCATTCGATTCACTGCCTTTGCGCCATTGCTCAGAATCAGACTAACAATCATTCCTGAAATCCAATCATGAACATTAAAAAGTTTTAAATAATTTTCTTGTTTTGAAGAAGTTATTTTTCTTATTTGTTTCACCAAGCTTTTTTTTCTCCTCCAAGTTGCCCTTCTGGTTCTCTTTCAGTCTATTTCTTTCTTCTTGTCCAGGCCCACTGGGCAACTTTCCACTTCTTTTTTTTTGAGCTTCTTGAGTATTATGTACATTGAAATGCACTGTATTTCTTTAATCGTGCTTTGATTCCCTGTGCTGTATCATCTATATAGAATATTTCTTTCAGTTATGCACTCAAAACTCTTTTGTTCATGAGCTTTTAGTATTTTATTTTTTTCTTTTCGTTATGTTGTGAATAACCTGCTTTTTGCAGATGTATAAATACACATATATTGTCGAATATTCTATAAGGAACCAACAAGCTTAATCTGTGCAGCCTACTAAATAGACTAGAAATGCACTTGTGTGTGTACAGAGAGGGGTGGGTCGTGAGGGTCAGCCAGGTTAGATGGGGGTCATCCTGTGCTTACACTTTGGCCCATTGACTCAGGATTGATGCTCCACTTTGACCACAATGCAGGGCTTTGCTCCCAATAGACACACACATAATTGCCCTCTGACACAGACACACAAAAAAGCATCCATCCATGCACACTCAGTCCCAGTATGGTGAAACAATACCCATGCACTAAAAAAGGAGGGGTTATAGAAAACACCTGCAATCCCGAATGATCTACTGCCCAGACCACAGGTCAGGGCAGTTTATGTGTTTGCTTTGCATATCTGCCTTGCTGCCACTCAGGTTTTGTTCTTTCATTCTCATCCACAGCATTGCAAACCAGTCAGCCAATGTGTTTCCCTGTGTTGTCATTTTTTTTCTGCAAAGTCAGCTCCAACACCATCCAGTGTTGCATACATATGCCCTCATTGTAACTATAAAGACCAGATAAAAGGAGTATATCATTTTCACCACACCAGCTTGTCTACCTGTTTATCCTTCAGTAATAACCGCCAAATCACAGCGTGTCACAATATGACTCAGGGGAAGTTTTGCTGGTATATATGCTGACACTTTCTGAAAGACAGACACAGGTAAACTGTAATTTAGACAAAGGGCCACAGGAGATGCATTTTATCATGTGATTTAATTGGTTGACTATTGCTATTGACTAATTTTAAGAGCAGGTTTCTAGTTTAATCCCATCTTGCTCCTTGCATATGTTAAATTGCCCTCGGACAAGACACTTAAATGCCTCCCATAATTTGTGTGTCATATGAATGTGTGTGCTTTTGTTGTTAGATTGGGTCAACATGGCTTTAGAAGTTGGTATGACTAGAAAAGCATCATATACATTCAGTCCAAATACCATTTAAAGAGAAGCTTTTTTCACTCCTTCAAACATTTCTTTGACTGACAACTTTTACTGCCTGGACTGGTTCACAGGGAAGCCCACGATCCATTTTCCTTAAGGGCAACAAGTCAGTATCATAAGAGATTGATGTCAAGGATGTGTAACTTTAGCTGGAACATTCTTCAACATAAGGAAAAGTTTTTCATCAGTGTAAGATGCATATCAGAAAGGCTGTCATGATATATGTCTTCTAAAAGTTCAAAAGAAGAAATGTATTTGCTTTAATACGTTTGTCCTTCCTGTATGATCACCTCTCTCTTCTGATAATGTGGTTTCTAAAAATTTAACATTTTTGAAAACCTCACTGGTTGTAAAAATAGGCTTGTGTTCTTCCCATAGTATCAACTTCCACACAAAAGATTGTTTCTATCAAGACTGGTGAGCTATTTATAAAAAACAAATCCCGTCTATGTGCGCCTGACTCATCAGTTACTTGTAAACTCGTCCTGTTCTGTTTACCTGGCATCTCAGTCATAAAAACGGTATATGTTAATTTCCCTTTATCTTACCAAGTGAAATACAATTTTAAAGAAAAAAATAGATCAAGAAAGATAGCTGCTGAAGTAACTTTATTCAGGGTTTTCCTTTAAACATCATAAGTGAAATGAAGCTTACACTTCCTTTTATGTACAGATACAGCACAATCTCCCTTTTTTCCATAGTGTTTCATCATCTTTTACCATCATGTAGAACAGCATGGTGGTTGAGATAATAACTGTGGCTGCACACTGCGCCTAGAGCGTCAGGTAGTAAAAGATTCTACATTTATTGTCTCCCTTCCCTTCTCTAACAAAGCTAGAATCCAGTTGCCAGTAAAAATTAAAGTCCAAGGTCGGCTGGAAAAGAAGGGATTTGCAGGAGAGGTCCACCATTTTATGTTCATTCCTTTTAGTTTGTTTCTTAATGTGCCAAGTAACAGACATAAAAACATTACCTTAACCTTAAGTGTGGCAGTCCTTTAATTACTGACATAAAGTGAAATTCGGTTGAAGATTTCTGACCTCTGTTTCCCCCACAATCTCCTTCTTTGTGGCTCCTTACTTTATTACCGCTCCATTCAAGCCTTCTGTTGGGTTATATATCTTGCAGAGTTTTACAGCAGGCTACTCACTGTATGTGTGAGTGTGTTTCTGTGTCAGCGCCCTGTGGGAAGCAAAAACAACTTCTCTTTGAATTTTGCCGCACTGTTTAAAACAACCGCCTAATTGAGACTAATTAGCCATATGAGAAACCACAATAAAAATTTACACAACACTGGGCTGATCAGACACTTTCTGTCCCTCTCTTCTTTTGTGGCACATATGCATACATACAGACACTTCCAAACCACCACACATAGTACTGTTTTTTGTTTCATTGGACTAAATGTCACTCAGGATCTTTCCAACTGTTCAGTTATATTCAGTTATCTAAGAACGGCCCTGTTCAAAGCCTCTTATCTGTTGGTTCTGACTCTTACAATTTTTATGGCATTGTAAAACCATTGAAAGTTCTATTGATCTTCTCTTTTCCTCTTTGTCTGACCTAAATGCTTTCTTTCTGCCTCCAATTAACAGAGACACTGATGGACACGAAGTGGGCCACTACAGAGTTAGCTTGGACAGCACATCCTGAGAGTGGGGTGAGTTTGGATAATTAATTCACTACCCAAAAGGGAAGTAGGAGGGTGGTGGGGGATGGTGGTCTATATAATAAGGCACATAATATATATGTAGTTAAAAGGAATATGTATGTTGTAAAAAAAAAACTCTTTTTCTCCCTGCATTTTTAGTCTATTTATGGTCTTTTTAACCTAAAAGAAATTCATGATATTTAGAACACCACAGGTGTGTGTCTCATAAAAAACAATCTGTGTCTATATTTATTCTGTTTAACATGAGCTGACATTTCTTGATGTAGTAGCAGGGTGTTGATCAACGTAGAGGCCGCCTACATTATAAATATAAGTGAAAAGACAGCTTATAAGTAATATAAGCTGTCTTTTCAAAGTATATTAAGCTTAATTCTGTCAGTGAGCCCCAGGGCAGCTGTGGCTACAATGTAGCTTGCCACCATCAGTGTGTGAGTGTGTGCGTGAATGGGTGAATGAATGTAGTGTAAAGCGCTTTGGTCAAGTCTCCTAACTTGAATAAAGGCGCTATATAAGTACATGCCATTTACCATTTAATTTCAGTATTTCAGTAAAGTATTTTTGAGATCAGATTTTTGTGAAATGAAGAGGACATCCAGTTAACAGGACTCACAGGCTGCAAAATGCTAAGGTCTACAATACCAACTGAAAATCACTCATAGAGATATCTTGATATTCATCAGGATATACTTTATAGCAGGGGTATTCAACTGCATTCCTTGAAGGCCACTGCCATGCAACTTCATAATGTACCTTTCCTTTTAAGACAACTTATTCTGATGATTGTATTTCAGCAAAAGCCTGTTAATTAGCCATTGTTTGAAATTATAGTTTCCCACCCAAATTGATATCAAATATAAGATGTTACTGATGGTTTTACATGCTTTCCCATGTGGATTTTACAATGGGTCTAAAAGGAGCAGAAAGAATATTGACCCTTTCTCAACTTTATTTCAAAGTTTGCTTACACTCCTCCTCCTACTTTTGTGTAATCCTTTGACCTGGGGGTTATGTTTTCAAAGTTGGGCACCCTTTTTAAATATTTTTAACTGTTACCCCAACATAGTTGCTGTGAGATCCTTTTTAAACTGTTCAAAGCCACCCACAATCCTTATTCCCCCCCTTTGTCTCTCTGCTTCCTATCAGTTGACGAAGCCAGACACATTAGCCACCTCAGCTGTAAACAATCAGGGGCCAAACCCCCTCTTGGCCTGTCATGACCTTTCCCTGCTTCCCCTTTTTACCCACTCATACATCCATCTTTCTGTGCCTCTTAAGCTACAATGCAAATGGGATCCTTCCACCACTTTCAGGCAGACTTGATATAGGGAGCCCTGTTGTTTTCAGCATAATTGCATCAGTTACTTCTTGTCAAGGAAAAACACACAGAGTCAAGCATTTGTACCCCAGATACCCCATATGTTAAACCAGAATAAATTTAACATTTTTTCTATTACATTTTCTTGGATTGGTTACATTGGAGCAGACAGGATTATTTCTATCCTTCAATCTTTTCTGTTTTTATTGAATTTCTTAAATCATTCATCAGCTCTATTTTCATTCTTACTGTTCATTTGTATTTGTGTAAATATATTTTTTTTACATTTGATTTTTTGATTGCTTTTTGCATTCTTGCAAGGCAAAACTATTTTTTCCTTTTACATATAATATGAAGCGGTACATTGACAGAGTCGACAAAAATGGCCAAAGGATAATTTTGAGCAGCAAGACAGGTGTAGACTTAATAATAAAAAAATAAATAAATAAATGTTTCCATTGCAAGAAGAAACTTCAAAGGAAGAACTTCAGATTCATAAAATACAAATTTTTAAGCTCAGATATTAGAATTAAAAGACTAATTTTGAACATCTCTTGATTTGTTGTAAGTAATACATAAATAAACCCAAAAGAAAAATACAGAAGTTTCATGCCTCATCTTCACAAATTTGATTACAGGAACATGTTGTGCATGCTTCTTATCAAATTTTTTTACGTCTGTGTCCTTTTTTGGTATGTGCATTCGCTAGTCATCTCATCTGTTTATCACTTTTTGATAAACCTCACTGTGTTTGTATTTTTCCTTACAGTCATTTTGTTTCTGTTTTCAATCCAGTTTATTGTATATTTTGCACCAATTCACAACACATATAATCGTAATGCACTTTACAAACCTATTTAAATGAAATCATACAGACAGTTTTGTTAAATTGCTAATCTGACCCAGCAGACTTCATCCAGTCATTGACTTTGAAAAAACCCCCCTTCTTGTTTGGGGGTTACAGTGGACAGTTGCTTTTATTGTGTAGATGGCTTTGCTGCAATCCCTCATACCAAGTATGCATGTCGCAACAGTGAAGAAGAAAACTCCCCTTTATCAAAAAAAAAAAAATCTCCAAGAGAGGCAGACAGTTATTTTGCATTGTGTGTTGGTTTGGCCAAAGCTCCGAATGTATGTCTCCAAACTAGCTGGAATGTGGGCCACTCCTTTGAAAATATTTAATGTACTACTAAGTTAAATGAATGGGTCCACTCAGGTCTACATTTCTATATGGGTTGTGATCTTATTTACAATGAATTAGAATGAAAGCAAAACATTTGGTTTTATGGTTCTTAATTCAAATTACCCTTGAAGGCTACACATATCATTCTAGATGCTACTGAGCATCCCCTACTCAGAACTTAAATATCCCTGCTTTAAACCATTCAAATAATGAAACATAATGTTGCCTATTTAAAAAAGAAAAAGCATTACAAAAACCTGGTTTAAGTGCAGACTAGAAAAGGGAACATACCTACTGAAGGCATTAAAGCGTTCCTGAGATCCGCAGAAGGAATTCTGCCTTTTAAAAGACAGTAAATAAATTAATAAAAGAAAAGCCTACGTTCATTATTCCACTATTACATAAGTAAAAGTTAGTTGTTATTTATTTATTGTCACCTGATAAATATAAAGAAAGAGCCAATTTAGACAAATAATAAAGCATCTTTATTCAATAAAAACCTAAATGCATTAAAGTGTGCAGTCTTGCAGAACTCTGTCATTATCTGTTCGCCACACTAAGCCCTTAAAACCAAAACAACCGTAAATCCCTTCACTCCTCTCTGCTTGTAATAAATGATTATCAATTATAAATATATAACTGCTTTCTTCACAGAGCACATTCAGGGTGTATATTTGCTTTCTGTAAAAATACGTCTATGAAAACAGTTTTAATAGAAAAAAACGTCAGAATACAGATTTGCATCATTATGGAAGCCGATATAAAAACATTAATACTTGATCAAAAAGATACATTTGAAGGTAAGGCTCGGGCATAAACAAGACAGTTTTTGATATATTGGACTAACACAAAACCCCAAAACATAAGGATTTTATTGCTTTTGAATTTCTTAAGACAGTAAATTATAACATTAATCTTTTATTTTTCACTGCAGATTAGTCTAATCTTGCACACCTTAAATACCATTTGCTCTATATCGTTTCCTTTGTGGACGAATTGAGTTGTTGCCAGGATATGTTTGAGAAGTTATATTAACCTGCAGAATCTCTATTACAACTATAAACTGTAGAGAAGATGGATATCAGCCAGGAGTTATTAGATAAGATAAAGTAAGCAAATACAGCATAAGCTTAGCTGTACCAAAAGTTTTATACATTAAAATTACATTAAGTTACTATTAAAAAATACTTGAAAAGTTATTTGTGAAGCTAGTACTTAACTACTTTAATTAAGTAGGAATTTTAAATAATAAAATAAATTTAAGTAATAAAAAACCCCAAAAAGTTTCAGTTACCTTCATATGGTTATGCTTATAATAAGGTAATACTCATTGAAGTTTCCTCTCATTACATTCACTTTAACATGCAGGCTTAGGGACACCAAACAAATACTAAATGTATAACTAAACTCAGTTTTTGGAATGATGCAAAATATTTTTTCAATGAGTACCATCAGTTATATGTCCAACACTATTGCATTAATATCCTCAGTTCGTCTTTGCCAAAATGTTGCAAAACCTAATTTCCCAGCTGCATCATGGACCTGCAAGTATTGTTCATTGTAATGTGAAAGTAAACTTAAAGCCTTGATTGCAAAGGACAGAAAGGCCATATCTGGATTGCCTATTTATCTTGCTGAGAATCAATGCCATAAAATGTTGGCCTTTTCACAGAACCTAATTTATTTAGGCTTGGGAAGTGGGTACTTAGAGCTTTTGTCCACTGGTGCATATCATGGTAGGGGTGTGGTGATTGGGGACCTCTATCTAAATGATCACATCCAGTTTCATTCATCAAGACAGAACAAGCTCAGGCAGAAAGTTTCATTTTAGCACATTAAACAAACACACCCAATTTTTTTGTATGTACCTGCTAACACTTGGCTGTATTGCTCTTTTGTAGAGGGTGATTTATTACTCTGAACTAAATACCCATTGACACTTCATGCTGTTAGCTATCCCATTGACCCAGCTGGTGATTATTGATTCCCTCTGGTCGCTTCTTCTTTCTTGAGCCATCGTTTTAATGCCACTACCCAACTACACCCATTCTCCCCCTCACTGACTCTTGGCCACCAGAGTCCAGGATGAATAACCCTGTCTCCACCACATCTATATCGCACCCCTAATTAAGACACTCAAATCTCAAACAGAAACATTAGGCTCTGAGCAACAAAATAGTCTCTGTTTACAAGTTTGAAGTTGTTTAAAGGTATAGACGATCTTTTATTTCCGGGTGGATCATCTAAATAAATGGTCCTACTAATAATCAATCATTCTTGCAATATGTTTACATGATGCGGTTCTACGTGCTCATCATGTTACCTATCTTTTATTGCGCATGTGCACTATCAGGCGTATATTTGTTGTGAGCTACAGATTCAGACAGTCACTGAAGTTCTTTGAAAATGGCCGAGGGTCGTAAGAGAAAAAGTGTCTACGAAGTGTATGAGAAGAAAAGAAAGGCCTCAGAAGAGGCAGATATATCCCAGAATGATTTGCGCAGAGAGCTCTCCTCGCAAAGCATTATGGGATTTGCTGTCACAGCGGCCCGCTGTCACCATAGGCTGTCGCTACGTGACAGCGGCGACTAATAACAAAGATAGCGAAGGCACCGCGCGGTGGAGGAGGAGTTACGTGACTAACAAAGCAAAAAGGAGTTATCATCTCTGTCCGAATGGTCAGTTAACTGAGGTTGCTATAAACTCCACTATATATGCCCCACTGTAACTGGACACAGTAAGCTTGTATGAGCTGCTAGAACAGCATATCTTAAACGGGGCGTGCAAAAGGAGAAATGGGCTGGTGCATGCTCTTGCACGCACATTTTTTTTCTAAGTGGAGAGGGCGGGTATTTTAAAAATCCTCCACAACACCTTAAAGTACAGGGAAACTAAAGTGTTGCGGGGAACAATTAAACTTTGGAAAATATTACTGCAGATATAAAAGCCAACTGGATAAATTTAAGACTAGGCTGAGGGTGGGTTAAGAAAATTAAGACTATTATTTGGGTAATAGACAGATCGAGGGCAGCATTGCCCTAAGCAGTCAAACATATAAAGACAAGCAGATAGATTATCTGCACAAGAATTGATGTTTGAAGTAAAACCACTCACCTGTGTTGGCTTCCTCCAATATTGGAAAAATAAATCAGAACTTGTAAATTTTACAGTTGATTATCATAGTGTTTGCTTTCAGAAATTCGCTACAGTCATTAATCAACGCTTAAAAATGTAATTTAATTTATCTTGTGTATAACCTCCCATGGGTACCACAGTAGTACTAAAAGTTGCAAAGGTTGGTCAAACAAAAAAAACAAAAAAACATGAAGGTTAAGTAATGACTTTTTCAATTGGTATTAGAGGACGTTGCAGTCATTGCTAAATTAATAGAAGCCTAATAGTTTGTGAAACAATGTGCCTGCTACTTCCAAACAGATATGAGGTAAACATGCACCGTGCTTCGGTGGCAAGGAGGTGACAGGTTGGTGTAATTGTGATAAATTTGCCATTCTTGTCCCTGGCTTTTTACCACTCTAAACAGAAATGAAACACATTATGATGAAAAGAAGTGATGGAAAATGAAAACATGACCAAAATATCCCTGCTACAAGCTCTGTTTTATATTTTTCTTTCTATGCAATATCAATTAGTGTACCTCGTAAAAGTTTAATGAAAATAATGTTTAAATGGTGTCACATCACATTAATTAAAAGCCCGACATATCAAGAAATATATACAGCTTCCCAATTAATTGTTAATGTCTCTTTTCTGCTCTCTTATTCAGTGGGAAGAGGTGAGTGGCTATGACGATGCTATGAATCCCATCCGGACGTATCAAGTCTGCAATGTACAACAGGTCAACCAGAATAACTGGCTACGTAGTGACTTCATCCCACGAAAAGATGTACTACGTGTATATGTAGAGATGAAATTCACAGTTCGTGACTGCAACAGCATTCCTAATATACCAGGTTCCTGCAAAGAAACCTTCAACCTTTTCTATTATGAGTCTGACTCAGACTCAGCCACTGCCACCAGCCCTTTCTGGATGGAGAACCCTTACGTGAAAGTGGACACTATTGCCCCGGATGAGAGCTTCTCAATGCTTGAGACTGGACGAGTAAACACAAAAGTCAGAAGTTTCGGGCCACTATCCAAAGCAGGTTTTTATCTGGCCTTCCAGGACCTCGGCGCTTGCATGTCCCTCATCTCAGTAAGGGTATTTTACAAAAAGTGCTCCACAACAATCGCCAACTTCGCAGTTTTCCCAGAAACAGCTACAGGAGCTGAGGCGACCTCCTTGGTTATTGCTCCAGGAACTTGTGTTCCCAATGCTTTGGAGGTGTCAGTGCCGTTGAAACTCTACTGCAACGGAGATGGAGAGTGGATGGTGCCTGTTGGAGCATGCACATGTGCAGCTGGTTTTGAACCAGCCATGAAGGAAACCCAGTGTCAAGGTAAGTGTTTTCACTTCAGAGACATTGTGTTAGTCAAGGATTAAGTTATCAACTATTAGTGGAAATGGATTACATTCTTTCTTTGTTTTATGCCAATTATGAGGATTCATTTTCTTCATCGTTGTAGACATGGTTCAAGTTTCTTTAAAGTCAGGGATTTTTTTACCCTTTGAAGTGGTCTTACCGTTTTCAATTCTAAATGCCATCTAGTCAAAGTTCTGGGTAAGGTATTATTTTTAAATGAGCATCCCATTTGTAGACGGATATTTTAGTAAGTATTTGTTTCACATAAGGATTATATTTTTTTGAATGAATAAAGTTACCTTTCTGCAATTCTGCTATAAGTCTACCATCTGTATATGAGCAAGTGACTAAAAAAGCCAGAAAAAGAAAATTAAGAAGACTGGCTCTATTTTTCGGGCTTCTCCTCTCCTTTTACATCTACTTGATTTGCCTCTTTATTCTACACAGTTTTGTTTGTTTTGATTTGCCGTTGAGCAACATCTCAATGTGGGCGTATAGTAAAGAGTAAGGACACTAAATATAAAGTAATATGATGTGATTTGTAATGTAAAATAAAAAAAAACATCTGCCATAGACAATGCCTTTTTTTATGACTCAGAGTGAAACAGGGGAGCCAAAAAAAGCCTCAGTGTGGCAATTTGAAGTACTCTGGATAAGTACAGATTTGCCAGCGAAAGTAAAGGGTAGGTTAACACTGACTAAGGTCACCTTACTATAGCGATCATGCACACAACTAAAACAATAAAAACTGCCATAAAAAGTCTTTCTGATATTTTAAAGTGTAAAGATATTTTGTTATTTTCAATTGAATACTGTAACAAGTGATGCCATCCCCTGCAAAAAATCAGTAACCAACAATCCTTTGACATCATGTTTTCAGCCAACTTGGCACGATTGGATTTTGATCAAATAACCTTTATTAATTTTAAAAGCCCGAATAGCAAGTAATGCTCAGTGGGGACTAGTGGAAAATGGGCAAATGAGAATAAGTCAAGCATTGTCACAGGAGGGTCATCGTGTTGGGCTGCATTGGTGCACCCCACTGAGGAGTCCATTGAAGGAACCATGAAGCAACAGAAAACTGGGCTGCTGGGTGGTATTCCAACATGATAACAATCTCTAACACACCTCAGACATGAACATGCTTTGCTAAAAAAACAAAGGGTAAAGGTGCTGGACTGATGAAGCGTGTCTCCAGATCTAAACCCCATTGAGCATCTGTGGGGCATTCTGAAACAGAAGGTAGAGATGCACAAGGTCATTTTGCATTCTCCAGCTCCACGGATATGAAGGCTCCTACGATATGAGTAACACTTGCATGTAATTTCCTTTTTTGATTGATAAATGACTTTTGAATTGAATTTAATGTTGTTGGTAAGAAGCTGAAGAGAATCCCAGGGGCAGCTGACAAAGTTCTTGTGACCTCCTTGTCAAAGAGATTTAAGGCAGTGCTAGAAAACAATGGTGGCTAAGCAAAATAGAGAAATTTGGGGTGTACTAAATATGGCTTATAGACATCAATGGCTGTGTGTAGATGATTGTTGAGAGGTCAGCAGATCAAAACTAAGCAACAATGGAACACATCACATTGTCAGCTGGAGGCATTTCACTTCTCTGACCTCTGGTTTGATTTGCAGCTGGGCGCTGACAAAATGGTAATGCAGCTGATGCTGTCTGTTTGTGAAGGCTGAGATGCTTAGGGTTTCTGGTTGAGTGGAAAACATGACATGTTCAAAAAGAGGTTGAGGTAGAGGTGAACTTTAACAACATGGTCTCGTCTGAGAGCAGGTGACAGCAGGAGAAGAATGAAGGATAAATGGAAACTGTTTGTGTGTAGTGATGGCCATAGGGCGTAACATTGGGCTGAGAGTGTGTAGGTCAAATGGACAGAGCAGGAAAATCGTGAATAAGAGGGCCAAAGGCAGGCAGCGTTATGCCTACTAAGGCTGATTGCACGATGTGACTTAACACTTATTAAAGCTATCAACTTTTTACCGTGCATCTTACCTTGTAAGTTTTTCTGTCCTTGCTCCAACATATGGTGAATCCTTCTCCCTTTGCACGTACCTACCTCACCCATTCCCTCCTAATTTGAAGGCCGTTGCTCTCATTAATAAGCCACCAGAGATACAGTTGAGATGTCAGCATTAATATTAATCGATGAACCTTTTTTTGCAGCACATTTTTCATCCCCCAATATTCTTCACTTTCTTCATGCCTCACACTTTCCAATTTCAGCATACATGCTAATCAGTTCTTTAAGCTCTATGTTCTGCATGAGAGGATAAGACACAGGGGATTGCAAAAAGGCTGTGTGTGTGAGGGTGTGTGTGGTGGAGGTGGTCGTGGTGGTGGGGTGTTAAAGGATTAGCATTTTTATGCCTCCAACCCCCTCCTTTTTCTGTACTTCTTGTCTGTCTCTCTGCTTCATTTTTTAATGGTTCCTCTAAGGGAAAATGGATGAAAGGAAGAGGATGACCCCTTTACTCACTGGAAGTGATTGATCAGCACTTTTAACCTTTTTCATGACACAGAAAAAAATCACCATTTTAAATGGAAATGCACTATGGTCAGGCCAACTGTGTTCAAGAACTAATATTTTATCCAATGATAGTTAAGATATTTTTTCATGGTTAACTTTTTGCCAGCTGAACATACATGAGCTTACAGAGGTCATGATACTAATCGAAGAGGTTGTTCTACAACCTGTTGTAACTAGAGAGCTTTTTTTTTTTGTTTATCAAGCAGTATTTCCTGGTAGCCTGCAATGTGGATGACTCTGATTAATGCTGGAAGAACAAATACACTTAGTGCTAGTGTACACAGAGCAGCCAACTGGTGGTTAGAGCTTATACTGAAGCTTTATCAGCATGAGAACAACAGGAGCAGTCTGCTAACCGTGGTAGTCTATGGTTCACATGAAGTCCAGGCTTTCCTTTCTTTATGTTCACTAAAGAAGCTAAACGCTAATTATCGTCCAGAAGGACAAACGTTGAGGCCTGTCCTTGACCAATAAGCACACATGGTGGGTCAGCTAATGAACGGGCCTTAGTAAACTTTGTCTGCTTTACCTGCCTCTGTCTGTTTTGATTGCGCATGGTGGCAAGCTCATTTATCTATTGAACAGTCAGTCTTACAAAGATATCGAGTCTCCCATAGGTTCTGGATTGCAGTGCTGCTGCTCTCATGGTTATTATTCATGTCTATTACTTATCAGCAACATTGTAAACGTTCAAACAGAAGCTTTTTTTTCCCCCATATAATTACTTAGACTATCTAATTGATTAAGTCCAGGCTTATATAAAGTTGCTGTCAAGGATTTGTTTCGCCTGTTTGGCACATCCCACAAGTGCTTTGTGAGATTGAAGATTGGGGAATCTGAAGCCCAAGTTAATACCTGATGCTACTTTTTCTTAAACCAATACTTGATGCTTTGTCAATTTGTAGAATGTATTGGATCTTTTTTGATAAGCAATGACAGTTGCAGGCAAACAAAACCCAAAAAGACCTGAGTTTTGGAGATGCTCTGAAGGAAACTCTCTACTTGGCACAATTTTACAGAGATCTGGACTTGGATGTTATAACTTGGATTCAGACTTGAGTCATGAATTGAATTACTTTAGACTCGACTTGCAAAGCCACAAATAGACTTAGGACTTAAGTGGAGTATTTATGCATATTTCTTATAAGTTCACTATTTTAGATCTTAAACTATGTAGCAAACCGGGTACAATATCACGCCTGGCCATTTGCTTTTTTTTTTCCTTTTGAGGGCTTCATCTAATTCGCTCTTTTTTTTTACCTGGTTGTAGTCAATGAGAATTGTGGTAAAGTCATTTCCTGTTATTCAGTTATATTGAGGGGATATCCACAAGGTTTGAAGAAAACAGAGCAGCGCTCACTTTAAAAAAAACACTGCTTAGGATACTCTGCAGCAAGACTCTGCACAGTGAGAACAGTTAGCAAGATTTTACCAATCCTTGAAATGCAATCCTGGGGAATGTAGAACCGCTAAGAATTTCCTTGACTTTAAGTGTTGGATCTCAGAGCTTCCATACAGTAAGTGTGTGGCCATTGTGTTGGGTGATGGGTCGTGCCCAAAATAATGCTCTAAGAAGACAGAGGGCCATTTGAGGGTCTTACAATGGAAGTGTTTTTTTTTTCAAATGCAAAGGATGTTCTGTGGTTTTCAGAGATTCGCTCATACATTTCAAGAATTAGTTACAGCAAATACAATAAGTATAAAGAGTATGAGTACAAGTATGTTAAGCAGTTTAAGTTAGTTGTGTTAATTTATTGACTGTTTAAAGTAACCACAGATCTAAAGAAAGAGAGAAAAGGAAATTATATATTAATACATTTGATTTTATAAAAGATTTGAGTTGCACACCACTGTGAGGATTCAACATCATCTAACTTTATTTGAACATTTAAACATATAAAAGCAACAGAATGAAACTTTGTGTATTGTTATGCACTCTTCTCATCTTATCTATGTTCTTATCTGTTACTGTCAGCTTGCAGTCCCGGATCCTTCAAGTCCAAACAAGGGGATGGTCCCTGTTTTCCCTGCCCAGCCAATAGTCGAGCCACCTCTGGAGCTGCCAGCATTTGTTCCTGTCGAAATGGTTATTATCGCTCTGACACAGATACTCCAGACTCCCCATGCACCAGTGAGTAAAGCCTTCTTTCAATATTACAGATACAGAAGAAGGTTCTGATTAGGGCTAAAAAAATTAATCTGATTAACTGTTATTAATTGATAATTGAAATTATCATCAACTAATTTTCAACAGCAGTAGTTATGCCAAACATGTCTATAAATATATTTTTCAATTAAGATTAAAAAGTTTATTGTCGTTGAATATTTTCTGTCCAGATCTACTCAAGATTTAGACACACCTGGTTTCAATTCAAAAATCTTTAAAGCACCTTTGGCTAGCTGAAAATTGATTCATTAATCGAAGAAACAAATGACAGAAATATCAATTAGCAAGATAATTGTTGATTGCACCCCTAGTTCTGATCATGCAACAAATTTCCAGCATGTATAAATATTTACCCAGGTTTTCATTTTGAATTGTGCTTTCAGTGGCTCATAAAAGCACTGGGGACAACATTCCTACTATTTTCCGAAAATACTTAACGAGGCTGCTTACTTAGCCAACATTATCAGAACTTTATCATCTTAGCACTACCCCTCCCAACTGCTTAAAATTTCAGGGTTATCTGTGTTGCTGGCCCTTGACATACACAAAGTAGAGCATTTTTCCCGTAGCTGTCTCTTCATTAAACACATATATGCAAATTTAGGATGAAATTCAATGAAATAGTAAAGAGAGAAGATGCTTTTTTTCCCACTGCTGAGAGGCGGGGGTCTGATTCTCCCACAGTGCAGTGTGAGATAACGCTCCATTAATTGGATAAGAATTGCCAAGGCTCTGCGAATAGTTTGTGTTACCCTTTCCCTGCAGCACTTTACACACACAGACACACATTGCCACAGTGGAAATAAGCATGCAATTCAGATTTTAACTCGTGTTCTTTTATTCTGGAGAACTGCTAGAACAGTCTCTTGAAAGTTGGAATAGAAAAAAAAAACAAGTCTAGTTAATGCATGAAAAATGTACTTGTACAGCACCAGGGAAATGAATAAGTCTTAAATTGTGAGGAGAGCAGAATGCATTATTGAATGTATATGTATATAGTGAAATATGTATTATGTACCATATTATATCACTATCTGTTGTTGTGATTTTACTGTACAATCACCAAGAAAGTATTTTGCCACCTATTGTGCATGTAGATTCAATTCGATCTCATTCCCAACAAATTTTTCCTCATCTCATACATGCCTTTTTTTCTCGCTTTCATAGCTGTTCCATCAGCTCCACGCAGTGTCATCTCAAGTGTTAATGAAACATCGCTCCTGCTAGAATGGAGCGAACCTCGGGACATGGGCAGCCGTGAGGATATCTTTTACAACGTCATCTGTAAAAAGTGCCTTCCTGAGCGAGGAATGTGCTCACGGTGCGATGACAACGTAGACATTTCGCCACGTCACCTGGGTCTGACGCAACGCCGTGTGACCGTACGCAACCTCCAAGCCCACACACAGTACAGCTTTGAGATCCAGGCGGTAAACGGCGTGTCCAACAAGAGCCCTTATGCCCCTCAGTTTACTGCTGTGAACATCACTACGAATCAGGCTGGTGGGTACATAAGCAATGTTGGCAGGGATCAACATTGATCTTGAAGAATTGAAGTTTTTTAAAAGTAATACATGCCTTTAATAGGATACATTTATACATGCAGGACTGTGTTAAATATTTGTTAAAATTAAAAAAAGATTGAGCACCAAAAGTTACCAGAATATTTCCTGAAATTGCTTAAAATCTAAGAAGCTCAGCAGTGTGTGTGTATATATATATATATATATATATATATATATATATATATATATATATATATATATATATATATATATATATATATATATATATATATGAAACATTTCTGAAGAAATACTTCATAAAACTTCTTGTAATTTAAATCACCTCAATAAAATTTAAAGATCCAGAGTTCACTCACTACCTCTTAAAAGCAGTTTCTTTAATGAGACTTTCCCCGAGCCTTTAAATTTGCTCTGGCTAGGCTCAGTCAACAAGACAGATTATGCATTGCTCTGGTCCTTTTTCTTCCATCCATGACCTTGTTCTCCTCACCTCTAACCTTGTGTTCACACCCCTAAAAGAGGCTTTCGGAATGCCTTTGTTAGTGTAGGTTTTGAAGGTCTCCCAGACCCCCATGTGAGAGAACTCATTGTTTTATAAGGGGATCTGGCAGTGGGACGACAGAGGTGACTGTCCATGCATAGTGCATAAGGTGCAGAGAGAGAGCGGTGGAAGAAAAGAACAGGGCAAGAGAGCATCATCTTTGATAAGATTATCCATTTGTGGAGTCCCAAGACTGTCCGGGCATGTGCATCCCCCTTTTAAGAACCAAAATAAATACGAAGGGTGGTGATAAGCCTCGGGGGCCACCTCCATGGTTACTGCAACATGCTCCCCCAGCGGAGGGCCTCTAATCCTTCCACCAAAGAAGCCAGAGGCCTTTTCTAGGAAGTATTGTGTTCTGCTTGAGAAAGAGAGACATAAAGAGAAGAAAAAAATGGGTTGGGCAGAGAGGAAGAGACTTGCAAAACTAGTATTTTGAGGGATGAAAAATAGAGATAATCAGAAGATTGCCTTGGTTGAAAAACAAGAGGGTAAAATAAAAACACAGGGTATGGAAAGGGTGAACTTGATTCATCTAAGGTGTTAACAAACACAGTGGGAGTGATTGTGTGCTCAAAGGAAAAAGGCCTCAGGTTTATTTTGGAGGAAAGGTGCCACTAGAGATCAATAGTGGAAGCTTAGAAACAAAGGCGGTAGACAGAGATAGCAGAGTTAGAGCTACAGAAAAAGGCTGAACTGAGAAAGAAGGAAGCAAGTCCAGGACCCAAATGTCCACAATTGTTCATAGGCGCATGCAAAACAAGGTAGGGAAAGCTCAAATGGGTGGAGTGGCAGCGTGCCTTTCCTTCTGGAATCCTGCTTGAAAATTAGCCCACATTTGTTCAATGTTAGACTTTTGTTATTAAGTAGTTTTTTTTTTTGTTTTGTTTTTTAGATTCCCAGCACCATATGCATATCAAACAATTGATATTGGCTAGAGGATTGTGAAATATCATACTGTGTATTTTGTGTGTTATTTAGCCTGACTTATAACATGCACCTGCTGAACTATGTTTAAGAAATGTATGCAGTTTGCAGTCTATCTTTCTTTCCTCCAGTACTCTGATACATTGAATGTAAGAATTAAATGGGATGTATTCAGCATGCTAACTAGTGCCAGCAGCGTTTCACTAACTCACAGTTTTAGATGTTACATGTTGAGCATATGCTGGTGAAGATGAAGAGCACATAAAAAATATTTGGTATTAGAAAAAAGGAATTAGCAGAAAACAATAATCAAACCAAGCCTCCATGTACTCTGTTTAGCTCCATCTGCAGTCCCAACAGTCCATCTAATGGCAGCCACAGCAAGCACCATGAGTCTGTCCTGGCTTCCTCCAGAAAAACCCAATGGAATCATTCTGGATTATGAGATTAAGTATCATGAAAAGGTGAGCAATAATTTTACTAAATGTCTCTAATTCAGTGCAAAATCATTGATTAGGGAGGCATCTTTTTCATCTGTTTCTGTAAATGTGGAAGACAAAGTCTCTCTTCATAGGCAAAACATTGCTGAGAGGCCAGTCACTTATTTTTTTCCTATTAGAATAATCTAACCTCTTTCATCTCCTTTTCCCATTTTTTCACAATTATTTCGTCTCACTATGTTCTGAACATGTTCTTAACCTTTTTAGCCCTCATTTCTTTGTAATTTTGCACTCCGATGTTCAGTATTTTTTGGAGCAAAGAAATAACAATGCTTGTTCAAGCCTTGTTCCTAGTGAGGTGAAACCACCTACATATGTTTTGCCTATTCATCACCCTTTACACCCATTTTTTTTTACCTGTTGCCAGCATACTTAAATCATTGCATATCAGTTTTCTTTAATTGTAGATAATTTCATGAATTATGGAGATAGCTAATGAAAATGTTTTCAGGTCTTACAGATATTAAATTACTGTATGCTCCTAAAATGTTTACATTAAACCATTTTTGTGTATTTGCTTCTGATGTTTACTTAAGTCAATTTACTTTTGAGAAGTATTCTATGGAGTTTTTATTAATAACATTTTATAACTTCATTTCCATACAGTACACTATTAATATATATAGTTTTTTGTGTATTTGCTTACACGAAAGATTTACAGTCTCAAGTCTTGAGAATAGAAGAAAGTAATGAAACATTAAATGCTTCATGCATTTTTCTTCTTTCACCATCTTTTTTGATACAGGATCAGGGTGAGGCTATTGCCCACACCATGACCGCCCAAAGGAGCAACGCCCGGATTGAAGGTCTTAAAGCTGGTACACCATACGTGGTTCAAGTCCGAGCCAGAACAGTGGCAGGTTATGGGCGTTACAGCAGTGCAGCAGACTTCAGCACCAATCTGCAAAGTATGTAAATTTATGGAATGAGGAGACGTATTTAGATTAAAGAATTGGAATAAGAATAAGATTGGTGTTATAATTTTGCACACAGTGGCTTTTCAAAAGCATATTTATCTGTTTTTTTTTTTAAAGAAATCTCAAATTCTTGTACAGAATGGGATTAATAAATTTGAGATCTAGCATTTTTAGTAGTAGTGCTTGACATTGTTCTGATCATTCGGCTAAAAAAAACATCATGACTAAATTTTGTTAACTTTACATGTTAGCTTCATATTTATCTTGATCTGCCTAACAAAGTTCTCTATACTGTGCCTATAGCTGACCCACCAAAGTCATGGCAGGAGCAGCTGCCACTCATCGTTGGATCCATCACAGCAGCCTTAGTCTTCATCATTGCAGTTGTGGTCCTCGGGATTGTCTGCCTCAGGTACAGTTATAGCATGACAGTAAGATGTGCAGGATATAAATAAACACTGGGCCAAAACACTTCTTGAAATGTGAAGTAGTATTTGTGCATTTATTTTTAACACAAAAAAAATCTTCAAATGTCAACTTTGTTTGCATGTCCTCCAAACAACCGCAGAGCGGTCTCAGTGGATTGCTTGGCCACCTGTGAAGCCGCTGAATGCCAGATTAGCCTTCTGAATCTCTGAATAGTAAACAGCTTTGTCCAAAATGCTGCTGTTCTCAGTGGATGCTGCATGTGATAGCAACTGTTAATCCTTCAAGGACTGCACTTGTAGCTGAGCATTCAAAATCAACTGTGAGAAAGCCTGCCAATAAGAATCCCCCTGTCAATTTAGCTGAACTGACTGCTAAAATGTGAAGGACTGTTCACACCTTTCAGTAATTTTGGTTTTGCATCAGCATGATCTAAGCGCACTGATTTAACCACATAAAAGCCATTTTTTTCAAGAAGCAAATGCAACACTGAATGAATGAATGCATACAGGAGAACGAGTGGCACCCATTGCTGACTGGCCCCCACCGAGCTCACTCCAGAAGCCAGTTGAGGCAGCGGCTGACAAGCGTGGGCATTGGTCATGCTAGACTGAATAATAATCTCACTGATCCCACCCTCCCTTCTCTGTTTCGTTTTGCCTTAGCTCTCTTCTATTTTAACGCTGCTACATTGTGTCTCTCTCAGGGTCTTTGCTTAGCCACAGCTCTGACTGGCCCTGAAGAAGAAGGAGAACAGCAATAATACAGAACACGTAGCGCTTGCATATAATAGAATGAAATTAGAAATTAAAATGAGATGCAAATCACCATTGGGGATTTTTTTGCCCCGATTACTGGTTAGACAACAAAGGAAGCACATTAACATGTAATTTCAACAACCCATTTCCCTATCTGTAGCCACCCCCTCTTGCAATCCAAATGGGAACTATGCTAGAAGATGAGGTTAGACAAACTGAAAACTATATGTGTGAGAAAAATAACAGACAATAAAAAAGAATAACTTTAGGAGTCTGAGTTCGTGTCGAAACAAGATGAATAAAGTCTTGTAGGGAGGAACAATGTTATATCCTGTAGTGTGAGTAAGCTAAGACAGCTCATCTTACTGTTTCCATTTTCTTAGTCTAAGCTTCTCATTTTGGTGTGAATCATATAACAGCTCCTATTAGCTATTCCATTGTAATTTTCCTTTGTTTAGACTTGCATTACAGTGGCCACTTATTTTTTATTTTCCTGCCACTTCTTTCCGATTGAATTCTTTGCTCTCTGATAAAGCTTAAAAATGTAACCAAGCCATGCAATAGTATGACTACATCTGATACTAAGACCAGGCATTAGTTGGAATTTGTTATCTCTTGTTGCCTTTGTTAGTTTGCAGTACTTGAATTCCATTAGGCTCATGTGACTCAGTTTGTGTTTTCATCTTTCTCTACAGAAAACAAAGAAATGGTTCAGAGTCAGAATATACAGAGAAACTCCAGCAGTATAGTAAGTATCTTTGCGAATTTACTCCTTCGTCTTCTATACCCTGCATTTCATTAACTGGTCCAGTTAACAAACCACTTAGTTGCTTGGATCAAAGTATTTAATGGTTTAGAACAGTCATAAAGTAATTTGACTAAATTAGATACATATTGCTTAAATTTTCCTTGACTGCATAGATTCACTTTCTCATTCTTTCTATAGAATCCCCAATAGTAACGCCGGGAATGAAGGTCTACATTGACCCTTTCACCTATGAGGATCCCAATGAAGCAGTGCGCGAGTTTGCCAAGGAGATTGACGTGTCCTGCGTGAAGATCGAGGAGGTCATTGGCGCAGGTAACCCACCAAAGCTCCTGAGCTACAGGGGGAAGACTGCTAGTCACCTCCAGGCCATACCATTAGAGGACTTCACACCAAGCGGTACTTTCACTCAATTCATCATTAGTCCTCTTCTTCCTCTCACCCCTGCCAGATGTCACCTTTTAGGACCCCTTTCCCAGACCTAGTAATATCTATAGCACCCATCCCAATTATTTTAAAATAATGACTTATAATGTCTGGCTTACATTAGAGCGAATCACGGTTATTGCACTTATACATACCATGCAAATGTAGAACATTGTTAAACGCTAATCTTTTTACCATTCTCCTGATACTGACTCCAATCCTGGAACAAGAGCAATAATAAGATAAAAGGATGTAAATCCACTGGAGCCATATTTTGGATGATGTCAAGATCAGAGCCCAATGCAAACAAAAGAAGAATTTTGTCCTTTCGATACACCTGTGTAAATAGGTCTTGCTTCAATTTTACAATACATGTTTTGAATATGAGATATTCGGTGTATCAGTGTGAAATATACTCCATGGAGCATCTTTAATTAAGATAGAAAAAATAATTTGTTCCTAAAAAGGACTTCATCTCTGAAAATGGCAAAAAATCCATTATCTCGTGTCCAGGATTGTATTCAACCCTACCCACTCTTTTATAATCTTAAGAGCCTCTTGATTTAAGAAAAGAGGTTTCCACTGTATCACTGTTTGACCCTAGTTTCCTCTACTTCCACCTTTTCCATCATGTGGTTGTCCTTCCCTTAATTAAAAAAAACCCACCCTCTACCTTATGTTGTAGACAGTGAACTATTTTATGAACTTGACATATATAAAAGTAATATGTCTGCTTAAAAGCTGCAGGACTTACCATGTGAGGTTGATATATTTTTTTAACTTATGTATCTGAACAATTATGGAGGACGTTTTGATGGCAGAGGTGGGAATCCCCTACTACTGCTTCTACTACTACCAATACTACTGCTGCTACTACTACTACTACGACAGTTCTTCTCCTGCTGAGGCTACTACTTGAAACCTGTCGCATTCCAGCATTCACCTTTAAAGTGACAAACCCTCAACCCCTGTCTTCCCTTTCCCCCTTGCTCTCCTTTATCCCGTCTTTAATCCACCCCTCTGTCCTTCAATTCCCCTTCCTACCCTCTCCCCATTTTCCCCCCCTTTGCCATCTTTACATTCATTGACACATGTTGCTCTCATCTTGCTTTTCTTGCACACGCTTGGTGTAGAATCTAAACATAAATCATCCACAACCCCAAAACCCCCAAAGCTTTTGTCTCCACCCATCTCTCTGTCAGGCTCTCGTCTGTCCAGCCCCACTGAAGTTTAGCACCTCCTTCCTCATCCAAACTCCCTCCGCTCCACGACTTTACTTATCCTACAAACTTATTCCACATTGTTTCATTTTATTTTCAGTTTTATTTCATAATTTTTTTTTGTTTGTTTTGCAACTTTCCACTCCTGGGCATCACGATTCTCCCTTACCATGCTTCTGTTAGTGTTTAGCCTAACAGTATGATGTTATTATACATTGCCTGTTTCAACACCAACCCTCAAAGACTAGCCTTAAGTCATGGCTTCTCTTACAGTTGCCCCTGCCTCAACCTTCCTCCCTCCCTTCCCAGGCTCCTTGGTTCTAACCAGTTAACTGTTCCCTCTCCCCTCTTTTCCCCCACTCTCCTTCACTCTTCCATCATGCCTCTCTTGCATCTCTCCTCTTCCTCTTTTGCTGTTTTTCTGGCTGTCTCACCTGGGTTCCCACAGGAGAGTTTGGGGAGGTCTGCAGAGGTCGACTGAAGCTGCCTGGGCGCCGGGAAATAATTGTAGCCATCAAGACTTTAAAGGTGGGCTATACTGACCGCCAGAGGCGAGACTTCCTGTCTGAAGCATCTATCATGGGTCAGTTTGACCATCCCAACATTATTCGTCTGGAAGGAGTGGTTACCAAGAGTCGTCCAGTGATGATTGTGACCGAGTTCATGGAAAATGGTGCACTGGACTCTTTTCTAAGGGTAAGACAAAACAACAAACACATTTCTTAAAACTATATTGTAATAAAACAATTAGTTGCTCATTATATACAAAATACATGATCACTGGGTTTTAATCATTGGGTTTCCGCTGTTTTGAGATCCACAGAGAATTAATCTGATTGCCACATTCAGGAGGCTCATGCCTTAATTTTAATTATCCTAATTATCCTAGACAAAATGGTCAGAAATCCAGAAATATCAACATTTTTTTAGATGTTTATGATCAGTTAATGGAGTTTACTAATGCATGAACAGGTCACACAGACAAACTAACTCTTCAAAATTAAGATGATCATACAATTTTTTCACTAGTTGTTAAAATATATACAAAAGAATAAACAATATACACCAATTAAGAGCAAGAAGCAATATATGTGGTGTTATTTACATATAAAAATAAACCACTTTGAATTGTTACAAAATAAGATGTAGTTTTCTATTCCTGCTGTAAACAAAGTGTTTCAGACAAACATGTATTTTCTCCAGTTAAGCATTTTTTATTAATGATATAATATCGGAACTTAGCTGTGGTTTCACTGTATTGTTTAGAGCAAACTAACTGTATATAAAGTATAGATTTTATCCTAATGAACACTATATAGCATTTTATTTCATGAAGTAGTTGCTAAAAATTTGAAGTTACACAGAGCATAATGAAGAAATGCTTACTTCCATGTTTTTGTAAAGTTTTATTAAAATCTTTTCTACTTTTAAATTTAATAAAGATAAAAAAAGTGTTCAAGTCAGAATTTCTTTCTTTCATATCTAATTGTGAATTGAAATGTTTACTTCTGTTTTTGGAACTTCAGACTCTTTGACTCTTGTAGAATGTAACCCAAGTGCCTACCAGTCATTTTGTCTCAAAAATTTGAATCTTTGGGTGTATTTGTTACCAAAACATCCTTGGATCAAGAACATTCAGATGATTTTTTTTTAAATGCACTGTATTTTGAGCCTTGAAAAGTAAGCTCAAGATCAGCTGGTGTACTCGGCTTTTAATTAAAAACTGTACTTAAAACAGTTATGTGAAAAATCTTCTTATCATCTTTAGTGTTTTTGTTGACCTTTACAAGCTGCTCCGTTTCTAATTAATTTCTTAAGACTCAGTATCCACTGATTCTGTACCTCAGTCACATCACAAAATATCTGATAGATAAACTTGACTTATAGAAAAGGAAGAGGGACAGAGGGAGACAGGCTAAAATGACTTGTAACAGTAAAATAAGATAAATGAGAAGAACATTTAATACATTCTTGTGCCATTGTTTCTCCCTTCCCCAGCTCAATGATGGGCAGTTCACAGTGATCCAACTTGTTGGCATGTTGCGCGGTATCGCAGCTGGAATGAAATACCTGTCAGACATGAACTACGTTCACAGAGACCTGGCTGCACGAAACATCCTCGTAAACAGCAATCTGGTCTGCAAGGTATCAGATTTTGGGCTGTCTCGATTCCTTGAAGACGACCCCACAGATCCCACCTACACCAGCTCCCTGGTGAGTCAGTGTACAGTGTTTTTACATGGTGAATACATATCTTGAAATCCATGGTTAAAGTTGTTTACATGTAACAATTCTAACATAATAATTTAATTTAAGAGTTGATTTACTGTTGTTTTGAATTCATTACCTACGTCACATGAAAACATATTGCAAACTCATTCCTCCACTGTTTTGTCTGTTCTTAGCAGTGCAATGCCCATAAACAAGAGAGAAAAATGCTGTTGTTTAAGTTGTTTAAGTTTAAATTACATTTATTTTATAAACATTTCCAATGTCCTACAGCCATACTTTAACTATCTTGATTTTAATTCTTGTTCTGCTGTAAGGCATAAAAAGATTCCACTTGGAATAAGTCTGATTAAAAACATTTCTTTGAGAATATACATCCTGTTTAGTAAAACAAAACACAGGCAAGGAAAAGAACAGAAAAGATAAAAGCTCCTAGAGCGATCTGGAAGAAAAATGTCTTCTGTTAGCAGTAAGCAACATTATTAAATTTTAAATATTTTCTTTATTCTGAGGAACACTTCATGTCAGACCTCAAACATCACACTAAGAACTCAGTTTGTCATTTGTTGAGCTGAAAAGACTTTAAAATGGTAGAGGGAAGAAAAATAGGTTTTGTGGCACAATAAATCTTCCTACAGCTTCATGCGTTTGTTCTCATTTTTGTCTAAATGTTGACTAACCTTGTGTGTTTCGGGTGTTTGAGTTCTGCAGCATCCACCCATGTGTTGTGCATTAACACTTCCCTTCGGAGTTTTGTTTCTCACCCTTTCTCTTTCCCTCTTGTGTGTGTGATTCTGCCTCTGTCTGTGTTCCATCCCTCCAGTATTTCATGCTTACATACTCATTCGCATATCCACAGGGAGGAAAAATCCCTATCCGCTGGACAGCGCCTGAAGCTATTGCATACCGGAAGTTCACTTCAGCGAGTGATGTGTGGAGCTATGGTATAGTCATGTGGGAAGTTATGTCGTATGGAGAGAGACCATATTGGGACATGAGCAATCAAGACGTAAGTAAAAACTGATGGTTTTAATGATTTAATTTCTCAATTCATACCAAAAGTCCTGCATAATTTTATCAAAGCCAAATTGTAACAGACAGTGAGAAGTAAATTTTAAATATGAAGTGGATGTTTTTACAGAGTAGAAGTAATTCTAAAGTTTTAGAGTTGCCCAGTCAGAGATCCAACTTCCATCTGATAGGAAATCTGTTGAGGGAGCTAAAGATTAGGGTGATGGTAATAAGGCTTTTCAATTTGAAGACCTGAAGCTTATTGTAAAAGATTCATTTTCAGACATTTTAGATTGCTGTATGACCAATCTATTTTTTTTATGATGATAATATAAAGTAGGGCTGGGCGATATAGAAAAAAAGCTTATCGATAAAAAAAAATGCATATTGATCGATATCGATAATTATTGAAAAGATTTGAAACCATATTTTATGCGCAGCTCTGCCTGGACTTTTTATAATTTTGCTAAATGATTTAATTTTAATAAAAAACACAAACACAGACTTAATTAAATATTTATTTAACCAACTTTTTTAACCATAACAGAATTGTTTTAAAGAAAAATAACTTAAGAGACCTGGGTTATGTTATTAAATACTGACAAAGAATAAACTAAAGTGACCAGAAAAGTGACCAAAATGAATATAACAAATAAATAAATGCCCCCCCACCGCCGCCCCCGTTTCCTGCTTTAACCTGAGTTATTACTTTGAAGTTTCTGGCCCCTCAGCATTTTTCTCTCAATTGTAAGAACTACGTGGGAAACTGCCCAGAACTGAAAATATATATTTTCCCGAAATTCCCGAAGATTCCTCGGAGGAGAGCCGCGCCGGGGCCTCGTACTCCTGCGGGTGTGAGCGGCTGAGATGATAAAAAAAAAAAAAAAAGTTGGTTGTGTTATCAGACTTGGTTTTCACTGGTTCCCTACACATTTTCCAGATGACTGTGGTTTGTTTTTGGTCCGACTTGCCATGACCGAAATACTGCCAGACTGCCGAACTACAAAAACCCTTCTTTGGAACAGTTTCCTCCGCCTCTCCTTGCTGCGACATCTTCATGTGCTCTGTGTTGTGGTTTGAGAGGGCGGCGCTTTGTGACGGTGTGCCTGGGTCCGCGATTGTGATTGGTTGGGAGGAAGCAGCGACTAGCATAAACCTACATGCTAGGCTACAATGAGAAGGAAGGAAAACTGCGTTTCTTTATCGAACTTTTATCGACCCTCTTTTTTTCTATTGCGCCACACGTCTATCGATCGATATATATCGTTATTGAATTATCGCCCAGCCCTAATATAAAGTGACAAGACCTTTTGAATTGAAAAAGAGCCTTAGGAAGAGCCTTTTACTTTTATGTTTTTTTAATTAAAAAGAAACTCTCAGGTTGTGCATTGTTTTACTAAATTCTTTGGAACATTGTTAGAATCATTGCAGTGGCGGCTGGTGGAGTTTTCTCCAGGGAGGGCTATAAATTCAAAATAGATGTATACCAAAGACCAATCAATTGTATACTAAGGTATCACACCAGTATATGTGCATGAATGGCAACAACAAAAAGCAAAATTATAACATTTTCTGAAAAGTGCTCTAAATCAGTTATACCTGTCTTAATCCATGCTGTGTCAGATTGTGATATTTGTAAAAGGAGGCAAGGAAACTGGAATGAAGCGTTAGCATTGCTGCATGCAGTTAGCCAAGCCTTGTTGCTAAATAATTATATACAGTAATCCTGTCAATCAGCTGCACTTTATAACAGACAACTGTGACATCAGCGCTGTGACTTCGGGTGGTGTGCAAATAAAGTTGCTTTCAGCTCTGGGCGCAGCATAATTGCATCCCACAATGGCCCAATCTCTACAGCGCATGGACAACTTTTAACAAGAGTCTGTGGGTAAAGCTTTTTGCACCCCAGGGGTCACTAATCCAACGATGAACGAAACAGCTTTACCTGTCATTAAAGATTAAAGAAAATATTTATCTTTCACATCTAAAAAATTTATAAATATGTTTCAAAAATTTTAATTTTAGAATTACATTTTTGTTTGTTTATGTATGGTTTAATAAAGGTCATTGGGTGGATGGGGCGGCGCCCTTGCACTCTCTATAATTCAGCTGCCACTGATTAATTGGTATAATGAACCTTTTATTTATTAAATTAAAATAGGAAATTATCTAGAGCTGTTTTAAACAAAATTTCTTTTTGTTTACACTCATGTATACAAATTGACAAAATAAGTCTAAGTCTTTAAGTATAAGTCTTTTAAGATACCAGCTGTTAATATATATCACAGCATTCATTTCGAAAATATATTTCAGAATATTTTTTAACTTAACTGTTAAAAACTTAACTTACCTTCCTTTAAATGTCTCACTTGGATGATCGGAAATGGAAAACTAATATTTCTGTTGTCCTTCACAAGGTGATAAATGCTGTAGAGCAGGACTATCGACTACCCCCACCCATGGACTGTCCCACAGCTTTACACCAACTAATGCTCGACTGCTGGGTTAAAGAGAGGAACTTGCGACCCAAATTCACCCAGATTGTGGCCACGCTGGATAAACTTATTCGGAATGCAGCAAGCCTCAAAGTGGTCACCAACAGCACACAGTCTAGTGGGTAAGTCCTAAACAGGGCAATAGAAATGTCATACAAAGTGCTGTCGAAAAAGGGTTTTAGTCAATAATTACTATTTTCTGCATGTGATAAACCAGCTTTATGCTTTGTGGGTCCACTGAGGTTTACAATTTTATTTATATTTCAAGACTAATAAAATATTTGATTTGCTAATTAGTTTATCTAATCAAGAGTTTTGACATGTACGGTCCAAGCAAGCTGTTTTAATCTAAGCTCAAATGCTTTGCAGAGATCTTGATATAAACATTATTTACTTTAACTGAGACGTAGGAGTGTTCTAAGGCCACATGCAGTGTGTACGCAAATATTTATTGCCCACAAACAGAGAGGTAGACACTACAGTCAAACAAATTACTGGTACTCAATATTGCCTTTGAAGCAGTTCGGTCAATAACTGGGAGTTTAATCAATTTCTCTGCAGCTACATTTAGCTGATTTATCTATATTTGACACTTGTTTCTTGGAAATGGTTCAGTGCTCACAAGACTGCAGAGTTGGAAGATATAGTAAAGGGGTGACCTACCTTTCTGTTCCTGGATCAGGGTCTTTGTGTCCTGAGGGAGGGTCTCAGACAATCCTGGGCTGGGCTCTGAAGGGAGACGAGGGTCTCGGTTGGCCACTGGAGTGACAGTCTTTGAAGATTAAGCTTGTGGTTAATTAGCTCGATTAGGGCAATGCAAAAAAGAGATGCGAAGGCCTTCTAATTAGCCACTAACAAGATTTTAAACGGGCCATCAGATGGGTGGCTTCCTGCCGACAAACTCAACAGGGAGGGGTGGATGGCACAGCGAAGCTGGTAGGCTACAGGTTTGCAATCACTGCTTTATCTACTTGACTTTGACAAATCATGTAAAATGTGATTATAAGTACATTAGCAAAAAGGCTTTGGTGCTAATGTTTTGTGTCAGTAAAAAAACCCATGTATGATGATGAACTTTAGAAAATAAGTTATTGCTTAGGGCATTAACATTTGAGTTCAATCAATAATTGTCTCATCAAGTATTTTTTTCAAGAAGAAGAGTAAGGCTGCAAGTCATGAGTATTTTACAAATCGATTAATCTGTCAATTGATTCATTATTGGATGCCAAAATGTTCCTTTAAGAAGGCTTTACACAGAATAAAACCAAGTGAAGCTAATACTGCACCCTTTGACTGCTTCTGGATAAAGCATATTAATGCACAAAAAAGTTTATCATCTTGAATACAAAATGTTTAAAAGTATTTTACAATTTGGGTATAAGAAATGCTTTGTACAGGTTGCTATTTCAACTAAAAGCAGATTTTGGAGTCTCTGAACTCAAGTTGTTGATTAGTCTATTACTAAAATAGTTGATGATTATTTCAAAAATTGATTAATCACGTTTAATCAAATTAATTGTTTCAGCCCTACAGAAGAGCAACAATTATTTGTACAACCGTTATAACTAGTACAGAGAAACATCATGTTGTCTACAAAATGTTTATAATTTTTCTCATAGTGCACTGTGTAACAAAAGGTATAACAAGCTTAAATGCACTGTTTGCCAGGTTAACTGCTCTGCTAGATGATGCTGTTGGAAGTTACAGTTGCACTTCAAGGTGACAAACAGAACTATACCAATGGGTGGCCAGCAGTAATGGCAGCCTGACGGAGTTCTGGAGCTGAGTTTACTTGATGCTGACGTTGGTACAATGTTTTCCAAAAACACAGGGGGCAGTACATTACATAACCAGTGGAAAAGTAGTAAAAAAGATAAGAGACAATTGATATCACACACTCTAATTTGCTGAATTTGTATTAAAAGCATACATTTGGAATGAAATTTGGTTTTTAATGGCTGGAAATCCTTGGAAAATCTGTATCATCCCTCATACTGAGACCATACATATGTTAGTACTTGCAAAGCCGCTCCATGAGAGCACTTTTACATTTTTAGATCTTTAACGGATCACAGCTTGCATATCCCTTTTAATGTAACAATTTGGAGGTGTAGTACTACATCATGTGGTGCCCAAACAAAAAAGGCACGGGGACTTTTGGGGTGTGGATTTTGAAACCACAACTTTTGGTTCAATGCCTAATTAAAACTCTAGTAACTCAACTTATCAAGCCCCCTAAACTTGTTAGAATTTTAAGCAGCAATTAAGCCCCTTGCAGAAACTGATACAGCTTCCATATTAGGATCATCACAGCTCCCTGTGAAATGAAGTAAGGCCTTCAGCAGCCTTATCAGCTAACACACAGGATTATCCATCATTCCTGGTGCACCACTGCCTTTGGCTTACATGTGGCCAGCAGTAATCTGGACCCAGCCTAAGCCAACTTTAGAGAAACAGGACTAACAATACTCAATTAAGAGAAGCCAGAGTCTGGTGTTAACGACAGCCTGAGGCCCTTGGGCTCCAAAGCACAGGCCTTATTAAAAATCACTCCATCTGCACCACTCAATGGAGCCTCTGTATCACTGTTATTACCCCAACCAACCCCACCCGCCCCCCACACACACTATGCCTTTCTCCCTCTTTCTCTCTCTTCATTCCTCTTTTAATTGTTAATGAATCTAATACCATCAAAAAGGATGACAGAGATCAGCAGAGCAGACAGGAGAAGAGACAGTAGGGCTCTTTCTTTGGTACTGCCCCTTCAACTGTTTCTATTCATTTACCTTCCTTCACCTCCCTGTCATCCTCTCCTCCTCAAATGTTGTTCATCCGCTCTAGTTCCCTATGAGTTGTGCAATTTTATTCAAGCTCCTAAGGAGGCCAATTCAGACCCTTTTTCCACTGTCAACAGGTGTGTAAAAAATGTCAAAAATATTATTTTTTTAAACTGATATTCACACCCGAGACATTAAAGAAATTCACAAACCACCTCTTCCAGAGTCCTTAGCATCATGAACCAAGGACTCATGGGACTAGGCTCATATATGTTTCCACAAACAAGAATGAAGAACTTTTGCATTTACATTTCAAAGCCATTTCTGTCTTTTGTAGAAATAACTTTCTGCCCATGTCTTGGGGGCCATGGTCCACCCATCCCTTAGCTGTGTTATCCCATACAAAAATACTATAAATCCAGCCATTGCGTGCCCAAGGCACAATGTTTATAAAATGCAAGCTGTGCTCATGTTAATACAGATGGTCTAGATTTAATTTCAAGTGACCAATAAAACCACATTAAATCCATTCTTTACAGATCCGATTTAAATGATGTTTGTGAAAAAGTTGAAAAGAATGACTGCATCAAACAACATAAACTGAATTTCAAAGGTGTTTTTTGCATTGCTAGCGCCAGTGACACACACTGACAGTTCGTTGCAACAGAAAGAGTAGAACAAACTCAAGGAGGAAAAGATGTTTCCAGGGTTCAATGAGGGTTCTGGATATTTTACATGACTTACACAGAAATACCAATAAATCCATTAATTGCTACCATATGACCATGCCTCACCAGCTGCAGTGCCAACTTCCACCACCCAAGCCTCCAGTCAGTCTCTCCACAGCCATAAAAATCCCTAGCCTCATAGCACAAAAACTTCTTGCATTCTGTATGGAGCAGAGGGGAGAAGGAGGAGGAGAAAAGAGGAGATGCAGAGAAATGGAGAGGTGGCAATTAGGGGGTTGGGGGGAGTTGGCCAGAAGAGGGAACAGAAAAGTGACCTTAACCCTCTATCTCTCTCTCTGTCTCTCTTCTGTCTCCTCTTCTCTGCTCCTCCCTAATGTAGGGTATCCCAGCCTTTGCTTGATCGCAGTGTCCCAGACTATACCACTTTCACCACTGTGGGGGACTGGCTGGATGCCATCAAGATGAGCCGCTACCGTGACAACTTTGTCAACGCCGGATTTGCATCCTTTGACCTGGTGGCCCAGATGACTGCAGAGTGAGTGGAGCTAATCAGGGCTAAAGTAATTGACTGTCGAGTATGAGAGTCAAATTAAAGTTCTATGAATTGACCTTGAGGGACTAAAAATAACCTCGCAGATAAATTAAAAAAGGGTGTGGAAACTGTTGGTCTAAAGCTTAGCTGTAGAAATGACAAAGTCAAAACCTTAAGAATAAGGCACGTTAAAATAATTTTGTGTGCTTATTTCTTTTTCTTTTTACAAAAGATACAACTGTCATTTGAGACTTACAATACAGCAACATATTTTAAAAGTAAAAAAATGGGGGGGGGAAAAATAACCTTTTTGACAATAGGCACAGTATAATTTTTGGTAAAGATAAAATTTTTTGAACAGAAACGTTTAAATTTAAAGAGTTTAAAAGGGTCTGGTTATTTTAGTTGGAATGTCAGCTGTGGTAAGTGACCTACTTTGGCTAAATTATAGTTTTGTCACCTATATCTCACTTACTGGAGCTTTATAACAGCAGTACCTGTATAACAATGATTAATATTGCTCCTTTAGGTTATGCATGATACCCCTCAGTGTCAATATCTGATATGGTGGGATGATATTCCAAATTGCAAATAAAAGGAGTAAAACTGTGTGAATAGATGGTTATGATGGAACATTTTAGCTACAAACCACCACTGTTGAAAACAATGATGTCCTTAATTCTACTTACTGGTTAATGCCTGTCCTACCGTAAAATAATTTGCATTACTTGAATTTGTATAAGGAGCCTTGCATAGAAATACCTTTAAAACTCCGATGTAAGCCGTAAAAAAAGTATTACCTATTTTTACATTAGCATTACAAAAGTGATGGATGACCCAGCATTTTTCATGTATACAAACAGGAAATGATGTCAAAGAAACCAAGTAAACAAGAGGCTGGTGATGATCAAATAAGTGAATTAGGAATATAATGATAAATAAATCGTTGTCATTAGCTGCATAATAGGCAGTGGAGGTGGGGGTAATTTGTTTCAATTTGGCTAGGCTGACAGGTGTGGCGTACTGTGGCTCTCTGTTGCCCTTAATGGCCAGTAATTCCTCTAATGGTTCCCATTTATTATCATTTCATCCGCTACTGCTGTTGTGGTGAAGGGGATGGCAAAATATGAAAGAAAAAAAAAATACATTTATTTATCCCATGCAGTTTTATTTAGAAGGATGTGAATACAGTGTTAATATGTATGCCTGTGAACTGTTAGTCCATAACTTCATACTGAGCCACACAGACATCTGCTGTCTTCTCACCTGTTGAACAAATAAGCAAGCAGAAGCTAAACTGCCCATCAGTAATTGTGCAAACTCGAGAACACCAGTTCACTACTTTGCTAAATTATCTTTAAAAGTTTGAGTTAACACTGGCTTAGATCTGCTTGCATGTCCTAATGATTGGCAGATCAGACATAAGTAGTTTACCAGACAAAGAAAAATGCCATTCCAAATAGTCATGTGCTGGACCAATGGTAGAAAAAGAACCTAATAAAAAACTTACAAAAAAAAAACAGTTTAAAACAAGAAAGAAATATTGAACAGCCACAGTGTTTTCCAGTTCATTTTACCACATCTTAAGTTAAATGATGGATTGAGGTGAACAATGTGAAGTGTGGCAGCTGTTAACCAGTAGTCACGTTTTTTCTTCAATCATTAACTTTATTAATGGTCTTTCGAGACACTTCCACTTGCCCACCTCCTGGGTAACAGTGGTATGTTTCATTTAGACTACCTTTCAGTCCAACTTTGTTTTGCTTTCCGGATGCTTTTCAGTAGCCGTTTAATGGGTGACTGCGCAGGTGCCTGATTCCACCTGGGTCAGTGCATGAAGCCTTGTGATGGAAAATGAAACTTACTTTTTATCTTTGGCTGGTGGTGATTTTTGTCCTATTTTTGTGACTGAGACACCTGTTCTCATTTTTCAATTGTTTCTCCACAGGGACCTCCTGCGGATAGGGGTGACGTTGGCTGGTCATCAGAAGAAAATACTTGGTAGCATTCAGGACATGAGACTACAGATGAATCAAACACTTCCTGTCCAGGTGTGAGCAGCAGGTCAAACAAGACGGATGCAGTCAAAGGACAGCCAGACAAGAAAAGGGGAGAAACTGTGCCAGAGAGGGCCACTGGAAAACCCTAGCTGCCTGACCCATCTTTGCCAACTGGACACTATGAAACTGGCTTGCAGTGCCTAAGAGTATATTTTTTTTCTTTATTTCAATACCACTTACATTTCCTGTCCCGACTCTTTTGTTGTTTGCATTGTTTCTTTCATCCATCCAAATTGAATGAATATGTTCTTGAACAAAGCCGAATTTCCCCTACTTCCCATGTGTGCCTCACCAACTCTTGAATGGGTTGATGTTTGCATGCATGTTTTTTGTCAACTTGGCCTTATTAGTGCTCTGATCCTCATGCAAGACCCTGTTTTCTTAACTTTCTGAGTGTAAAAGACATGGCAAAGGATAAACCTTGATAGAAGTAGATGAAGTGATAAAGACATATCTCTGCCAGACCACAGAAGGCAGAGGACCATTATCTCCCCAAGAGAAGCTGTTTTACTGTGCATGTGTATTATTCTTCATCTTCATATTGAAGGTGTGTTACCTAAAAGAGCAGTTACTTGGAGAGGCATGGAGTGGTGAAGGAAAAATGTTTAAACGTGCTGCAGTCAAAGGTTAAGAGGATGACAGACGTCAAAGGAAAGGAGCCACGTTTTTTGGACACCTGCTTCGACTTTTGGGTCACGAGGCGACCTCTTCACTACAACCTAAAGTGACTTAGGATTGTTCCTTTTTGTGGGAACACCTACTAATCAGCTGTTTTTTATTCACATGAAATCATGTCCACGCAACAACATTTTCTGTTTAGTTTTTTTTCCCTTTGTTCCATCTTTTCTCACACATTTCTTGGAAATTGTGGCCAGTCCAGTCAGTACCCTATCCACTGAACACTTTATGTGACAATTTTAAAACAAGGACTGGGGCAACACTGTTTGAAAGACCTCCTGGCCTTGTGTGTGCATTTTTTTTTCCAATGTGAGTGTCTACTTGTGTGTGTGTATGCACATGAGTGTGTGTATGTTTGTTTGACTGATGAGTGTTTGGACATACGAGAGTGCGCCAGGTTGCACATGTAAAATACAGCTTCCGTAATTTGACATCATGGAGAATTAACGCATGAACTGATCTGTAATAAGCATAAACTATATCTGAAATAATTATGCTTTATTCTGTGGACAGCTGTAAAACATTCACCTTTCTTTATTGGATCCCCAAAATGGACTTTGATCCCACGCACATGTACACAAATACACACACACACAATCATGACTGACAATTTTTTTTCTGCTTACTAATATCTGGATTTAGAAATAATCAAAAAAGATCTTATCTATGCTTCTTGTCATCCTTCCCTGTGTATTTATTTGTACCTCACCCACCAACCCATGCTCTCATTATCATAAAAATGGACTAGCTTGTTTTGGCAAAGTGAAACAATCAGAGAGAAGAGGGAACTCCAAGAGACGTCACCTGATGAAATTATTAATAAAAGTAATTGCATATATATTGGATTTTGTATTTTGTTGTTGTTCTAAACAGCCTGTACAGGTTTTGTAACAAAAGTGAGATAAATGACTAAATTGTGTAAAGCATTTGTCTCAGAGTGAATTCATCAGCAAATTATAGTTGTCAAGAGAGAGAAAGAAACTTCGCTCATGTTCAGTTGCTGGTAATAGTGTGCTGTTTTTGTTCTGCATACATGGTTATCTCAGTGTTGACTGTGAAGGTGTGTATGAGTTTTTAGTGTGCCACATGAACCTGATATTCACCCTCCCCAGCCCCATTTTCATTCTCAACATAAAGAGTATTTGTGAAGCACTGGGCTGTTACTAATTGTCTTCCAGGCACATAATTTTCATCTATCGTGAACCACTCAACTGTTGTCCAACCCATTTTACACAAGCCTGTCAAGAGGTTTGTAAGGGAATAGGCCAAGGGATAGTGTTGCATCAAATTAGTCACCTCACCTTTGTATTGTTTTGGTAAGCCTAGGAGCAAGAGCTCTATTGCAGGTTCCACTGCATTCAACAGGATCCTCATTAGAGAATCCTTAGCTGTCTTTCAGGAGAAATCTATTTTTCTTTTTCTGTCAGCTCGATTAATGCAGCAGCCAATCAGGCATTGCAAGGATATGGATGTGCAGCACACAGGCATTTGCAGACACAGGGCATACAGGCTTACCATTATCTCTCATTCATTTCCTGTCTGGCCTTCAATCACCCAGACTCAAGCTCCGGGTGTTGCATGATTAGCACAAAGCAGAATCAACAGTAAGGGGAATACAGGCTAGCCGAAATCTGGATCCAGATTCCTCTTAACTGATAGCAGCTGCATCTTTGAGGCCACGCTATTTGCGCTTCTCACAACGAGGGTGTCTGGTGCCATTGGATTAGGGAGTGGGGCGGTATCGTTGCTGTGATCTTCAAGATAGCCATCATATTGTTTGGATTAAAGTTGATCAATTCAGCATGTTGACACAAGTCCTTGTAGTATTGCAATATTTTTGGCAGTACAGCGGGTCTTTCCACTTCTTTAGAGAACAATTATATACAAAACACATTTATATTTTATAGTGATCAATTTTCTCTCGTGCAGATAATTTTGTTAATAATCATTAATAATAGTAATGTTCTTAATAATTTTTTTAATGTAGTTAAACTGTAAGGAGCTTCCTAACTTTTTAGCTTTTAATTTGTCATCATCAAAAATGATAAATTTAGATGAATCATTATGTTAATAAATAAATATAGTGAACTGATAATGATTTCAAAATGGCTTTAACCAGGGATATTTTAAATAATTTTTTATTAATAAGTTCTTTACCAGGACTCAGATTATTGTAAAAGATGCAATAGCTTCGATATTAGTAAAGTGACTGCAGTCAGAATCAAAGGATTGCCATGAATTACTTAGTGTCCATTCCCTTTTTTTTTCTCCAGCCGTATCAATCTATTAGTCCCTTTAGCTCCTCTGCTGCTATAATTTGCATGTGACTTTAAATCAGGTGTTATTGATGTGCACTGAAATACAGGAACATGACCAGGATAAAGGGGCTAAACACAATCAGATTGCAAACATGCATGCTCAAGCAGCAACTTTTTGATGAGTTGCACATGGTGAATTGAGATCTGGAGCTATGTTCAGCAGAGTCAAACTGGCCATGATTGATGGGCTTAATAGAAACATTTTCACACATTTAAAAGATTTACCCATGTTAACTGCTCGCTAACACTCAATTCATAGGATTCTTTTATATACTCTGCACAGAAAGGAACCGCATTTCCTGTTTTTTTCTGTTCATCCATCAAGACTCATTTCATTGAAATTAGGATAAACTGTTACATTTGTATGTATGAGTGAATGGAATAAAACAAATGCATTTTATAAAAAGCTGTTTAATAGTCGCCAGAGACTCAGCTATGTTATCAAAAGTGCTAATAGGAGACTAATTATACAAACATTGCTCATCTATTTCTTTCTCTGTTCAACATTTAACAGATTATCACAGACTACACTCCCTACTGAGATTAACACTACCCCCTCTACGCATTAAGCACACTCTAGCTTTGTTTTCAAACATGGCTATTTCAAATAATATACAGTGGATTTCTTTTTTGTCCTCTAACATGTCCACAGACTTGCTTTTTTGTCAACTTTGTCACTTTTTAGTTTTTCCTAACAAAAGACAACACTTTTCAGAGAGTACTGTACATGATAAGTAAAACAAGATCGGCGGGGCTGGAAGAATGAAATGCAATTGTTACTTCCTCTTTGAAAAGCATTGAGATGTATTTAATGGTGCACATACACACAACAAACTACTAAAGAAGATGCATTCTTGTAGAAATATTTTTAAGATACCCTTTTTTGTAATTAAATTATTTAAGAAATGTGACCCTATCTCCCATCTGCTTCTTTGTGTGCTGTGTCTTTGGATCGATAATTCCACCACATGGAAAGTGTTCTCTTTTCTTTACATATCGTGCCAGTTTAAAAATCACACTCAAGCTTCTCAGTCAAGTAATTTCCCAAGGCAAACACATTCAAATTTATCACATATGTTTTCACTCTCCTTTTATAATTACCAGAAATAATCATGCAATACTTATTGAAAATTAATTTATTGTTGAATATAGCCAGCCTCCAACTTAAGAAATGTTTTAGGTATGCATAAAGTGCCCAAAAGTAACTCTGCAGCTTAGTTTTCATCAAAATCTTTGATGTTTTTTCTCCAGAAGAGTTTAAACTGCATTGGATTAGAGAAAGACTGTGGTCATTCAGAGTAACAATAATTTTCAAAATACACTTTCCACACGCTGTCTTCACTTACTAACACCAAAGGGTTGAAAAGTGATTTTTGGAGAAGTTATCCAAGGTTCATTTCTTGCCTATTTGAAAATCAGAAAGTACCGATATGATCATATATAATCGCTTATATATTAAAGAAGTGAATTAGGCTGTACAGCTTTCACTTTTACAAACCTATGCTAAGCTTTATTTCATGCATTATACCTTATATGTAACGAGTGAAGTGGATATGGATCCACCGATGTATATTAAAAAATACAATTACACATAACCCTAGCGGAGTTAGATGTAACATTATATTCATTATACAAAATAAACTGATTTCTAAATGGAACTGAAACCAGCCTCTCACTAGGGATAATCCATTAAATTTTTTTGAGGTGACCAATAGACAACTAGAGATCCACAACAGCACCCCTCGCGACCCCGCTTGGGAAAAGCATGACAGAAGATGGATGGATATTCAAAGTTCTAAATTATTTATAAATAATCATTAATTGTAATACAAAGAGGTCATTGTACGTACAGGGGTCCTAAGTCTGGTTCACACAAGAAACTAATGAAACATCGGATCTGCTTGGTACAATAATCAGGGAACTCTAACATGTTGGATTGTATGTTCCCCACAGCTTTTGGTGAGTGCTGTCCATTGCAAAGTAAAGCGAATTGTTAGTGATTGATTATTATCTTTTGCAGCTCGACACTCTGCATCGAAAAATCAGAGAAGGTGATTAGGAACCTGGCTGAGAGATGCTGAATTCAAGCCGCAGTCTCTTTTCCTCTGTAAAACATTAATAAATTGAGCATGAATGTAAATAAATTTATTACATTCCACTAGGTTTGCATGAAAATCCTGGAGAATGACGTCCTTGATCAGACGGAACAGGCAGGAGATAAAAACACTGGTAATAATAAAAGCGGTATAATGTAGGTTAACACATGGCTCTCAAATGAGGAGCAGCCAGCTCCTCTTAGGCTCCAGCTGAAGAGCTTAATGACCCAGGTGTGCAAAAACACACAATCATCCCCACCCTCCTCCAGCTCAGTAATTAACCACCTCATAGAAACACAACACAACCCATTTCCCTGACGCTATCATGATTTTGAGTTTTGAATTTTCTTTTGTGCATTAGTTTTCTCTCTGTTGTTTCGAATTGATCTGAAAATGTTGTTTTGCTTTAGTTTATATCTTAAGGTCATTATTTCTGGTGGGAGTTTTTTCCATTTTAGGTTTCGGTTCTTTTTTGAGAAAGTTAGTTTCTTTTTCTTGATGTAGCCTCTTATTAGTTTTGCTATTTGGGTTTAGCGATATGTGATCATTTTTCTGTGCTCATCAGGTATTTCTTTAAGCTTTCTTGGTCATTCTTGAGTCCTATCTCTCTAACTCCTCAAGAGCTTTTAACACACCCCATTTTTAACACGCCTGAATCAAATCAGTGACTTGTTACCATGCCTCTGCTGAGCTAAATGAGGGGATTGAGACTTTAGAATCAGATGTTTTAGAGAACAGATGCATAGTTATATTATATCATGACACATTTTTTGGGATTTCCTGTATTTGTGGACCCATTTCAGAAAGCAGGATAAGTAAAAACTAATAATAAATTCTTGAATAAATACCAACATACCTTAAATTTTTGGTTTTAAAAGACCAGATAGTCAAGTTTATACAGTACCATAAGTTGCTTCACAGAACCAACTATGGAGTGTAGCAAGATTTGCTAACCTTATACTGAGTCTATTGCACATCTCATTTGCAACCTTACACAAGAAAAGCATCAGAAATGGTTTTATTGGAGGAGCCTTTTGAATAGCAATGGCTCATCATGGTCTATGTGATTATATTTTTTAAATCTGATTTATAGATTTTCTGAGCCTTACTGTTTTCACCAGAGTCATAAATTCATATAAATAAAATTTCAACCACACATCGCTAATATTACACAATTAAGTTATTTCATTCAGGGATGTAGAGTGTGAGTGCTACTCTACAGCTCAGATTCCCATCAGATCAGATAAATCATCGGATCAGTCACATTTTTCAGTGATGTCAGCCTATTCCATAGGTGGGTAGACAAGTGTTGCTAACTGCAGCATGGGAAACTGTGAGGTGGGTAGTAAGTAGTTACAATTTCATGACTACTCTAACCTTAAACCTAACCAAACAAGTACATACTGTACTCAACCGTCCCACGCATACCACCACCCCTCACATTCAAAGTTTTGCAGTGCCTTCATGAAGCCCCTTCTTTAACCTTGCTGTGCCTGTATCATAAAGACCCACTTTTCTGATCAGGGAGTGTCTTTATGCAGCTAATCTACACTGTGAAGCAACCACTCCTTTTTAGCTAATGTCTAAGTCTTGGAATTGTGTTGTTTTGTCCCTAAGAGGTCGAAGTCTTTAGATGTTGCTTTGCTTTTAAGACATATGTGTTTCTTTGGTGTGCGACAAAAACAACCGTGTTTCATGACAAAAAATTAATACCACATACTCCTAAAAGCATTTTATCGTATATTTGCATATAGGTCTCTTTCAAAGGTTATAAAATGATGTTTTAAGTATCGTAATATAGTTATTGAATTCTGAACCTTATCCCAAGGTTGTGTTGGACACTCAAAGATGTGTGCAGAACATTACAGTCTGTTGATGTATGACGGTGAGTGATTTATTACAAAGACTTATTGTTTGACGATGGAAAATGAATTAGTTTACCTTATTTTTACCAATCCAACTCAAGTTGCACTGCCCAGAATACTTCTGTGACCGCTTCCCTGTTTCTTAACTTGATAGAAAATATATTTTAAAAATATCTCTCCTTCTGTTTCAGAGAGTTACATAAGCTAATTTGTGGTGCCATAGTTGGCAGATAAAATTTTACCACTGTTTTAAAACCTCATTTTAAAATATTATCTTTAGATGGGATAACTTGCAGATCCAGAGTTACTTTGTGGACATAGTTCTTTTCTTTCTAGTAATTCTTCTCTTGTAATCAATCTCTTTGTATATATATTGTGGCAATGCTTTGGCAGAGATAACTTAAAAATCCCATGTAAGAAAACAAAGCTATGCATGACTGCAACCATCCTGATTTAGACAGATAGACTGTATCATAGGGTTTACATTTATTTTGGCAAACTTGCAGACTGACTATTCCTCCAGTGCTCAATATGTAGTAGGATATGTCAGTTTGAGGTAAATATGGACCAATGCCAGGATGAACTGGAGGACTGTATACTTGCCTCTAGCTATTGACATAGTGTCAAATTACTCTAAGCTAGAGAATATTGACTGTCTGCATGCCCATTTCATCAAAATATGTCATAGAGTAATAGAGAATTATTAAGAAGTCAATAAAGATTAATTTTGTATCCCCTCTTGATCTGTGAGATGGCATTTGCATTAATACTGTTGTGCATTCACATGCATTAACCACTTGTTAGTCAGGAGAAAGATCGATGAAAAGCCTGATCACACATTGTTTCTTACATCCTTTGCTGACTCCTAATTTCAAAGACAGGCTCCTTTCATTTTGTCTTAGTTCCAGTAGTGTGTTACCTCCCCCAATACATCCATTTCCTGACTACTTTTTATCATTTCTCATCTCATCTAGCATAACCCCTCTCATTTATTTTGCCACGGAAGAACTAATTGGTCACATCTGTATGATGACATGGAGACCTGACATAATTGCTGGACAAATAGCAAGGCGTTGAGCATGAGACCTGTCTCATGCAAGCCGTACACAGACACAACCCAACTGGAAAGCCTAATTACCACTTAGGCTCACATTTTACTGATTGGCAAAAACTGCAAAAATATGTGTGTATTTTGTGTGCATGTGTTGATCAGTGCATTTCCGTTCTGGTTTTGAATTGAAGAATATATTAAATAAATAAAATACTTCAAAACAGGAGCACACACACAAAAAAAATATATCAACACCTTAGAAAACAGTTCTGAGACATTAATTACAAGTGTTGCTGCTGTGTTATCTTGCTATCACTCTGTTAATTAGATTTGCGTGGTTATTTTAGCTTAGTTCAGACTTTCTTTCATGTGATATCTCCCACCAAATTGACTGTTCTTTTTAAAAAGCAATGCTGATTCCACTTTATGCTTTTAATCGCATAGATTGTTTTCACTCTCTCATATATCACAAACGTTTCAGTGTTAGATAAATAGATACCAACAGAGTATTATGCAAGCTGAAGAAAAAATACCAAAATTGACATTTTCTAAAAGAAACTGTAGACATTTAGTATATGTTTAGTCAGTACAGTAGTAAATAAAATAACTATTATGAGTTTTAACAGTAAGTACTCTTAGCAGCATGCTACAATCTGTCAAAGGTGCAAAAAATGTGTTCTATTTGTAAAGAGGACAATCTTTTATTTTTGGGTGGATCATCTAAAATACATGCTTGTCCCATTGGTTATCTTTTTTTGTGCATGCGCACTTTCGAGCGTATATGTGTGGTGAGCTATAGTTTCAGACAGTAATTGAAGCTCACCTTTGTCAGTGCGGTTCTTCCACCAGGTAGCAAAAAGCAGTGATCATGTGTCCAAACGTCATTTAACTGAGTTC